ATTTCAGGACCGCAAGAATGGACCGTCATTGGAATGATTCTTTTTTAAACCGTGCACTGTTTTCGGCCGGAATTTAAAAGTTACTACAAAATATTTTGTAATTACGTTTCCACCAAGAATGAATGCCATCAGGGCTAAATTTTTAATACTATTGCATTTTGTCAAGAAGCATATAGTGCTGTTATATTGCAATTCTAGCGCGTTTGTTACAAAATATGAAGCGAATAAGCGTCAGTGTAATTCATCAACAGTGCCAGAAGTTAACTTGAGGGAAAGCTATGCTAATTGCTCTTGTCCATCCACTAAAATTTATTAAATATTTTGCTTTGTGTATTCCAAAAGCAGAGGGAACTATTTCATTTGTGCCTTCATGTCAGAATTGAAGGTGGATCATTAAATTTTCAACGCAGTTTACAAACAAGCATTTGGTCTTTCTCGTTTATTCAGTGGGCCAGTGGCTAAGAAAAGGTTGATCAATCCTGAACTTCAGTCATCGTACCTCAACTTGGCAGCAAGATCCCCCAAGGACAGAGGATATATTGTATACATGTCCTGTAAATCAAAACAAACAAGCATTTGGTCTTTCTAGTATATAAGCAGTGGCTAAGAAAAGGTTGATCAATCCTGAAGTTCAGTCATCATACCTCAACTTGGCAGCAAGATCCCCCAAGGACAGAGGATATATTGTAAACCTGTCCTGTTAATCAAAACATTTTTGTGCCTTCAAAGGCTTAAGTTATCTGTGGTGTGTTCGGAGTTAGGCTATATGGCCGTTTTTGTTGTATGTTTATGTGGAGATTGAATATAACTGTGACCCAGTGCTTGTTTGTATACTTACGGTCAAACAGGTAACAGCACATTCACATAACATACTCACCTAGCACCTAACTCATAGCTGTACCCTGCAGGTCGCAGGATCTGTACTTGTTCATGTCTCGAGCATTAACAAAGCACTAAAGTAGCTTAGTAATCATTTCCCACATTTTCTGAGCATCTAACATGACATACAGCAGTGCAGAGCAGCTTCAGAGAAGAAACACTTTAAATGCACAGACTCACACCAGCCACCCAATGAGCCAGTTCCTCAGTTGACTGTTTCCCTGGACACAGCTTGGCAATGTGAGCTAACTTTTGGCAAGTTGAAGGTTAGCAGGTAAGATTGAGTTAGGGTGAGTACCTACCCATAACTGGGTGCTACTGCCATGCAGGTCTTGGGTAGGCTGCAAATATGTGTGATGATTGAGGTTAGGTCAGCTGTCAGGTTAGTCAGGTTCAGGTATTCTCATTGCTCAGGTCACATTTTTATGGACATGTCAATGTGGCAAATTAAAAAACTAACAATCTGATCTAAGCTAACCCGACTAAACATACACAACTACTGACTATAGGAACTGAGCACCTACCTACTTGTGCCTACATCTCATACCATGTCAAAGTAGAGTTCCTTGGTGGAAGATTACCCTCAGTACTTTTTATCCCAGCCCTGTGAAGAAAACTAATACTTCTAAGCTCTGAGTCACTGCTGGCCATCCACAGGAAGAAACGCTGAGACTGAGAGCTTTGCCATTGTATATTGGACCAATAATGACTATCACGAATCATTCGTGACGAATGACTATGAACACATAATATGATCACATCGTTGCATGGATTGTCACATTGACAATTTTACTACAATCCTTTTTTCAAGAAATACAGTGATGATGATTAACATCAAAATCAACATACAGTGGATTTAGTGATCCAAGCTTTCTCCTCCAGTAGCAATGGAATGATCACATGTTTCATTTGCCAGACACTGAGTACCTGATGCACATTACAATCTGCATAGCATCTAAGCATAGTAAAACTGCCCAAGTCCATTCATTCTAGATTCTAACTTGATAGTTAGCACTAATTTATCTTGCTGTTGTAAGTTATCATTCAATATTCATACCAATACATCAATATGCGCTCATCAGTCAACATTTTCTGGCACGATCCTGCTCAGTGTGCTCTTCAGTATTGCTCCAGCCTCCAAGGTCTGTAATATTATAGCTTGTTTTTGGACAATAAGCTCTTTTAATTTTGCTTTTTCTTGCTGATATATGAGCCCAATCAACTTGCGTTTATCAACCAAAATTTCATAACTTGTTCAACTTGATATTGATATTGCTCAGTAGTCAGGACCTCTGTCAGCCTCCTGGATACTTCAGATTGTTTTGGTTTTCAGTCAACATGCTTCTTAAATATGATATAAGTCAATCTTAAGGGATTCAAAACATCCAACAAAACGACGTACAAGAGCAAGAAAACCACCAGATAAACTAAAAAATGGCCTTGGAACAGAGCCAAGTGGTGCTCCATTTGTTTGTTTACAATGATTGTAGTGCTGATGTATTTTTAGGACTCTGAACGTCGGCTTATAAAAAATGAAACGTTTTTACAAAAGTTGTAACGCAAGTAATATTTATCTGAAAGAACTAAAATATTCAAAAGCCAAACACTATGAAATACATGAATCGGAACGAAAAAGTAACCCAAAAATCCAGCCTAATCACCGGCTCCTAAAACTGCAACACAATCAGCACTTTTCCCCGCAACTCGTTGTCCAGACGTAAATATGCGGAATTTCAAAAGAGTGCTGATATTCGAATATCTTGCACAGAGTGGATGCCAGGGGGATGTCGTCCCGGTTCTCCCCATGTATTATTCGCCAATCAGCTTAACACTACCAGTGACGTCACTGGTGGATCGCCAATCGGGGCCGTCCGGCCGGCCGGGCCCGTAGAAGGCCAAACGCAGACGTTTTCAGAAAAGCGTAAGCCGTATAGATACAGTCGTGGATGGAGTTTTGCTGTAATTCGGCTCTCCTAGAGTGCGTCAGGGTACCAAGACCCGGATAAAGGTCATAGTGAACCGGCATCTGATAAAACCCGCTCACGGCTTAGCAGCCGACTTCGACCCTTCGCCCTCGTAAAGCACAAAAGCTTGTCGGTCATCAATCCACCTGCATCTCCTCATCTGCTTCCTGCCTATATCGACCAGTTACTGCAGCCGTTTTGGAGCGGCTCACGGCCGATAACACGCCGGGCGTGCGCTAGCCGCCGGTGCTAAGCGCTAACCATTGAGAGCGCGTGACCGACTGCCGCCCCGATGGCGCTGGCCCCCGGCACCGGCGCGGCGCGGCGCCGCTGACCCATGGGGGGGGGGGCTGCTAATTAGTTGAGCCGGAATTGGGATAGAAGCCGGTATGGGATTGGGATAGCAACTCAGCGAGACTAAGGGATTGTGTTGTGCCTTCGGTAGGCCCCCAAAATCACCGGTGTAGTGCCCTCAGGACCGCCAGTTATGAAGCCTTTGGGGGCACTGGTGTGGGCACTCACAGGTAGGTACCGGTGTGAGGCCCTCAGAGGCATTGGTGTGGGGCCCCGAGGTGCCGCTGTAGGCCCTCTGAGGTGCTAGTGTGTGGCCCTCAGAGGCGCCGGTGAGGATCCTCACCGAGTAGCCATTGTGGGCCCTCAGAGACACTGCAGTGTGGGGTCATCACAGTCGGGTGTGGGAGTTGGGACCCTTAGAGCTACTGGCTCGAACCCTTTATAAGCCGACAGGGGCTCTCAGAGACCGACAAGGGGCCCTCAAGAGGTCTGCGGTGTCTTCAGGAGCCCTGTGGAGTCCTCAAGAGACCAGCAAGGTACTCTCAGACGCCGGTGGGGGCCCTCAGAGTCGTCGGTGTGGTGTGGGGCCCTCAAAAGTCACAAAGTCACCGGTGAGTGGCCACTGGCCGTCCGATGCGAAGGTCCCGTCTGGGGCCGTCAGAGGCTCCGGCGATCAGCCCTCAGAGCCGCCGATAAATATGGCCAAGAAGCACTGGTTTGGGCCTTTGGGACTTCATTCAGGGGTGCCGGTTGAACTCAGAAGTCAGAGGTGGCAGTGTGGGGCCCTCAGCTGGGCACCGGTTTGGGGCTTTCACAGCCGCCGGCGAGGGCCATCGCAGGCGCCGTTGTGGGGGCCTTCAACCATTGGTTTAGGGGTCATCACGGGCGTGTGTGGAACCCTTAGAGCTGCTGGTCCCTGACAGGCCGGTAAGGGCCCTCAGAGGTCGCCAAAGGGCCCTGAAAGGCCGGCAAAGGGCCCTCAAATGCCGACAAGGGACAATAAAAAGCCGGTGTGAGAAGTGTGGCTATTCGGAGCACATAAGGTGTTCTTTCGAGCCCTGTGGGGCCCTTCTGAGTCGAAAATGCCAGCGTGGACCCTCAGCCGCCAGGTCCCCTCGGGCCCGAGAGGCCCCCTGATCCGATGGGGGCACGTGCCCCCTGCCCCTCTTCCGGGTGCAGATAGAGAATGCAATCGGCGGTGCGAGACACAACAATTGCAATCGTTCCTTCTCCCGTCGCGAGGTCGCCCATCCGACCAACATCCCAAGGTTGTCAACCCTGGGGCTCGGGTCGGCAATGTATCGGCAAGGAAATCAGCTTTAGGTGGGTAAAAAATCTATTAAGAGTCATTAGTTGTCGCTACGTTCAGTAATAACAACGATAAAGTGCCAAATGTACCCGACATACGGCTTGGAGCCGGGCGCCGCGCGGTCTCCACCAGTGACGTCACGCTAATGCTTAGCGACCGGTCCATAGGAAATTGCGGGATGATTCTACCTCTCTTATACGGCCTTGGTGGATGCCTTACCATGGCCTAACTATGAAATATACGTCATCAAAATATGATTTTTATGTTTCATTTTCAGTCATGGTTTTAGTCAAATTTAGCAAACCTTAACGCGGGATTTAGGCATAAGCGCCGCGGCGGCCGGTAACAAGCCGTAGCATTTTGGTTTCAATTTTCAATTTTCATGTGGGATCCTCGACTTGATAACAATAGCCAAGGTCTTTATTTATTATGTCAGAGATCTCAGTTCAGTTGAGATGAGTTCAGTTGAGTTGAGATGCTACACGGTCTGAATTCAGTTCAATTGAATTGTCAGGTTGTGTGTTCTCAGCTTGAGCTATCATTTTGTTCATCAGTGTGCTACCTCAACCTACCAGTTATACCTGATGAGGAAATTCATTGCATTGAGGATGTATTTCTTTATTCTTTGCCTCTTAGTTGCATTGGTAAATTGTACCAAACACATAAATTCAGCCATTTTATCTAACATTTCCTGCAAGTTGTCTATTAACTGCAGCATCTTGCCTCTAAACACTGGAAAGTTGATGCTAAAACCAAGAGCTAAAACACTTTTCAGACTAAGACTGTAAGCTGATCTATGCCATTTTGCCGCTGATAATTTCCTTTCAAATTGTGTGCATAAAATTGTGATAGATTAGGTCAGTACCTACTACGTGCCTACTACAATGTACAAGGTGTTAATAAATTTAAGAAAGGTGCGCCAGTAAAACGTGTTTTGGGGTAACACAATTCTGATTTCTGAGTCCTGTGTCATTCCAGATGCTTTGATTGTAACCATTAGATCATAAAGTTATTATGCTGCTGTCTCAGCTCACCACTAAAGGCCTTGCTTTGTGTGCAAGCATTTCATTATCAAGATTACTTTCTAGGATATCACCATGTTTAGGTAGGATTGGTGTGAATGCCTGGTTGCCCGACTGGAAAAAATGCACGCTTTCGTCGAGAACTCGAGCGTAGTTGGGCGTTTGCGCCGAAAATTTTCGGCGTACTTCGGCGTAAATCGACGGCTTGCGCCGAAATTTTCGGCGTACTTCGGCGTAAATCGCGAAAAAACCGTCAGGGGGGTGGCACCAACCCCCCCTCGGCCGGCGAGGATTAAATATCTTCAGGAGTTAAACATCTTAAATACCAGTAAAACGCCTTTTCGGCGAAGAACGAGCGAGCGAGATAGTGAGCCCTACACGTGCAGAAGAGCGAGAGGGTACTTTCAACGGGCTTGTGCAAAGCACCCTTCTAACCGGTCGCTAGCGGTGTACCAAATTTGAACGCAATCGGCCCAGCCGTTCCTGAGTTATGGATTGTCGGATTCCGTAGTTCAGATAACGTATGCTATCGTGTGCGTATTGACCGTTGTGATTCCTGTATTTCCGGCGTGTGGTTTGCGAGCGGACGCTGGCAATCGGTCCCGCGTGGCCTGGTATCTGCCCGATCCCATCGGCCGTGCTTGCACCACGCCTGTTAAAGGCCCCGTCAGGCGTCAGTCACCGGTTGGGCACTACTGCTGATCAGAGCCGGGCAACAAAATAAAGGTTACATTATGGAACATGCCAGTGAGTTTGTGAGTCAGGAGATTTTGTGATCGCGAATGCTGGTGCTCGGTCCCGCATGGCCTGCTGATGTCTATTGTCTGCCCGATCCCGTCGACCGTGCCAACAACCGTCTGTAGACAGTAGTCACTGGAAGACAGCCACACACACACGCCAGCCCCCCCCCCCCCCTCGACGAAAAGTGCGTGGCTACAGCCTGCAGCTATCAGTAAGCCTTGAAAATTTTCGGCGCATGAAGCATGGCTTGGTAAAATAATTTCGGCGCATAAACCCTTGCGCCGAAATTTCGGCGCATCACCTCCGCCGAGAACTTCAGCGTAGTGGAGGCATTTTTTCCAGTCGGGCCTGGTTGGGTGTTGCAATTCAATTGGGTGTTACTGTTATGTGTATATTAAGTGTGGTAGTGGTTAAAGATGATATGCATTTGGGTTAACAAATCCTTATTTTGTATAGATTCACACAAGTTTCTTCATTTTGCATTTTTGTTTTGTTTGTTTTTGGGTAGGTACCTACTGACTTTTTGTGTACCTATGTTATAAATCACAGTTTATCAATTACAGCAATGACCACCATGGTATCAGAAACAAAGAAATTCAAGAAAGCTGTGCATAAAATTGGCACACACAATGGCACATTTCATTGTGATGAAGTACTGGCAGTCTCTATGCTGAAAATGCTACCAGAATGTCAAGATGCTGAAATCGTCAGGTACCTACCTATACCTTATGCGAATATGTAGTATGCAAGGTTGAGGTTATTTCGCTATGCACAATAACAGTCCTGTATTTATATTTTTCATGATTTGTGATCATGAATCAAGAATGCTGTAGAGTTTAGCTCTTTTGAGTTGTCACAACTGGGCAGTGGCTACTCCAATGAGTGTTCACTGCAATCTGCATGTTCTTACTGTTTCAGATCTCGTGATGAGGATGTGCTGAAGGAATGTGACATTGTCGTGGACGTTGGCGCCGTCTACGATCCCGACAACCACAGATACGACCACCACCAAAAGTCAGTAGCGTTCGTCGCCCAGTGTTTTATTTTACATGGCACATTGTCCTCTCATTGTTTAGCCACTGCTGTTTTTGAGGCCGTGTAACTGAGCTCTCGTCTTGCTCAAATGACGTGAATTGGATCTAGCTTACTTTGATGTTACGGTGTTTTAACCCTCGCCGGCACAGGCCATTTTGCGTCCTTCGACGGCACGGGGGGGGGGGTTGGTACGACCCCCCCCTCGCGTTTGGCCTCTGATCGAGCTATAGCTTCGCGGAAAAAACGAGCGTGTTGCCCGTCACGAGAGGAAGCCGATGATACCCAATTTTAAGGTCCTAGGTCATCGGGTGACCTTCCAGGTCAGGTCAATGACCCGAAAACCGGGAAAATCGGGACCTGTTAGAAAGTCGTAAAGTGTGGCTGCTATGTGGTTTTCTGAGGTGCTGATCACGACTATCGTGCTAGTTTTGATCAGAGATGATGTCTTTAAGCATTTAGACCTGGTCGGGTCAGGTCAGGTCAGGTCTACCGGTAGGGGTTGTGACGGGTATTCGTAATACGTGTCAACCGCCTCTGACAGCTTCGTAACATGTTACGAAGGCACCAAAACTACTTCGTAAATGTTCAAATGGTTGCTAAATTCGAATTCAGCACCAAAAACTAGCCTAGAAACATGTAAAACTCGAAAAAGTTAACCGAGGTCACCCGAGGTCACCAAAGGTCAATGACCTGACCTGACCTTCAGGTGACCTTGAAACCCACCCTAATGTATGGGAGCAACATCAAATCACATGTTTGAACGTTTGAAACCACGAAAAGCTTGCAAACGCGCGGCTAATGCGCCGACATACATGTCGGCGTATAGCCGCGCGTGTATATTCCGCGATTGGCCGGAATCGCGTTCCGACATGTGCGCGGAATCGCGATTCCGGCCAAACATGGTCTCGAAAAGAGGTCACAGGTCAAAGGTCATTTGGGTCAGGGTCATGAAATTTTCGGGGTAGGTGTAAAATTGATCAATGCGAAGGTACTGAAAGTTTCGTCGCGATCGGCCGCTTTTTACGCGAGCTATTCGCGAAAAACCTTAGGGGGGGGGGGGGGTTGCATCAACCCTCCCTGTGCCGGCGGGGGTTAATTAATTTTTTCGTCGTCTGTCTAGCTTATTGACTAATGACTATCGATATGATAGACCAATGACTTCCGGCGCTCGATACATGATACTCATGAATTGCATGGTCCGCAGTTGGTGGCAGCAGTTGCGACTTATTAAAGCAGTTTAGTGACTTACCATGTTCAGCTTTGATAGCTTATATTCATTGCAAGTAGACCTTAAGTTCCGACTGATTTTTTTCTTCAATCTATCTTTATCAAACTGTCATTCGCACCAGTTAGCCTATATAGGTTTTTCCTTCTCAAAGTAGCCGCACAAACGTAATGGGACCATTGCACCAAAATATTATCGACGGTCGTCCTTCAGTCAGAGTACCGGCCGGGTCCAGCTGATGGATGGCTGATCCAGCTGTATTTGTATATGTATTTACATTTAAGAGCGATCCACATACAAAGTGCGTGGCGATTACTGCTCAGAATCCGTATCCGCGGTTGCTAATCTAATCATTCAAAACATTTGCACATTCACTCACGTCAAAACACTGACAAAACACTCTCAGGACAGCCTCATCGCTCTTACCCACCCCCACGCTATTGGTCAGCGACGATGTGCTGATTCATCGTCCACGATTGCGGCTTTAACAGCGCGGACGGGAGGCAGCTGCGACAGGTGAGGTTTGTAGCCGTCCGTCCCGTACCTGTTGCACCGCGCACTGACTGGCGGTGGGGCTGCGCCCAGGTCGTTCACAGAGACGATGCAGTCGGTGTCGGGCGGCCGGAAGCCGTGGACCACGCGGCTCAGCTCGGCCGGACTCGTGTACCACCATTTCGGCCGCGACGTGCTGGCCGCGCGGCTGGGCGACGCGCCGGCCGACACCCGCGAGGTGCTCTACGACCGGCTCTATCAGACGTTCGTCGAGGAGATCGACGCCGTCGACAACGGCATCAACCAGTACGACGGCACGCCACGGTGAGTCGGGCCCGCGCGCCGGCCGCGAGCTTAGAGTTCCGGCAAAAAACGTATAACCGTGGCTGATTGCCGTGTCTGTTAAGCTGATCAGTACCATAACCGCCACGCTTGTCCAATGCTGCCGGTGACTCGCCCTCCTCTCCCCTACCGCGCCCAGGTACCAGGTGACGTCGACGATCGGGGCGCGCGTGTCGCGGCTGAACCCGGCCTGGAACGACCCGGAGCCGGACGAGCGGGGCCGCTTCGAGCGGGCCGTGGCGCTGGTGACGGCCGAGTTCGGCGAGGCGCTGCGCCGTCTGCACACCGTCTGGCTGCCGGCCCGCCAGCTGGTGGAGGCGGCGCTGCGCGACCGGCACCGGGTGAGCGCCACTGCCGGCCGCCGGGGGTGGGCGGGCCCGCCGGACGGCGTGCTGCGCTCTGTGGCGGGCACTCGGCTGACGGCTCCGCGCCGGTACTGTTGTGCCGTTTGTGGTTAGTACGGCTGTATCTCGAGCCACCAGTTTATCTCTCAGCTCATCATGATCGCACGCTGTCCCGAGCCCACTTACCTCGAGTGATCGACCCCCCCCCCCCTGCCGCCGTCTGACGGCCGGCCGGTCCACCCCGCCAGGTGCATCCGAGCGGTCTGATCGCCGAGCTGCCGGCCGGCGGGGCGCCCTGGAAGGACCACCTGTTCACGCTGGAGCAGCAGCTAGAGCCGCCGGCGCAGGTCATGTTCATGCTCTACACCGACCAGAACGGCAACTGGCGCGTGCAGACCGTGCCGCCCTTCGTCGGATCGTTCGACATGAGGTAATGAAGGCATGCATTGTTCACTTTTCATAACAAACAAATGGATAATATCATATGTTGAGAGCGTGATGCGGCTTCGTAGTTTTTGCTTCATGTTCTAATAAGTCGACTGAATGTAAATTTGTATTCGGAACGGTTAATTTCGGTATGACGTATAAAATAAGAATTTAATGATTTGATAATTGAGAGCTGATGCATTGGATGTCTATAGTTCGTTTTTTTTTTTCAAAAGGACTCTGGCTCCAAGTACGTTTTTCGTAAAAGCACGCGTTTTAGCGAGCAAAACGAGCAAAAACTGAACCTGAGAAACTCGAACGTCGCCTTATTTTAACATGTGAAGTATTCCCAATAATTTCCATACATGCATTTTTGATTTTGGAACCAGGTATGAGAACAGTGGTGATGTCATGCTGTCGAACTTGTATTGCAATATAACGTATAACTATCATGGACGAAACCGCTTACTCGATTATAATCTCGGCAACAGTGAAAAACGAAGTTTCCCCCAAATTCGTCGAAACTTTGTCCCATCGATCGTACGGACATTGGGTGCCTGCTGCCACCAGTGACGTCATCATAGTATGCTAATTTTTCCAGACACAATTTCCGGGTACTTACCGTGCACAATTTGAAATCGAATATTTTTGCGGTAAAAAATTCTTGGCCAGACGCTGAAGCTGCCAAAACTCACGTGAGAGCTTCGATAAGGAACTTGGAGCCAGCGTCCTTTTGAAGAAAAAAAAAACGAACTATAGTCTACGTGTCAGTTTTGCGTCTGTTGGGTAATGGTATTGTTGTGATTATCTCAGTGCATTTTTTTATCAATACTTTTATTGACAGGGTACCCTTGAAGAAAAGCTGGCGTGGATTGCGAGATGACGAGCTTTCGAAGGAGTCTGGCATCTCCGGCTGCGTCTTCGTGCACGCCTCTGGCTTCATAGGCGGCGCGAAAAGCAGGGAAAGTGTTTTGGAGATGGCGCTGCAATCGCTCAGAGAGGCTGACAAGCTGTGATGCTACCTGCAAGCAACGTGATCTCGCATGCTCCGGGCCGAATATATGTCTTTTGTTTTTATTTAGTTGTCTCTTGATCTATATTGCCCTTGAAAAAATATAGCCATGGTTTTAGGCCCTTGGCCATGGTTGAGGCAATCACAAAACGTCACGCTGCACGTAAAATCGATACGAAGCCGTGGGGCACAGCTTGGGCACAGCTGACTTGCAGCTGACGGCGGCAGCGATGGAAGTCAAAAGTGAAATTTGGGTAAGTGTGGCTACTGGCTGGAAGCAAAGACTGTTACGGAAGTAAATGCAAATGGTTCAGGTGTGAATATCGGCAAAATAATATAACAGAAGTGCAAGATTGAATGCAAAGCTCAAAGTCGAAAGTAAAATTTGTTGAATGCTTGAACACATGCGCGCGACATTTCCTGCGCATATGAGACAGACATTGTACCTACATAGTGACCAACATACCCCGCGTTCGATGTCTCTCGGACGGCGAAGATTCTACGCCGTCCAGCCAATCATGTTCCATAACCGCAGCCGAGCCCCCGCTGACCTTGGACGCGATTGGTCGGACGACGTAGAATCTTCGTCGTCCGGGAGACATCGAACGCGGGGATGGAGTTCTATAGCCTTGGCGGGGATAGCCTTGGCGGGGATAGTGACCATACCAAAAATACCTACCTATAATACGCCCTCTATATACGCTCTTATACGACCTTGGGTATTTGCAGATTGAGATATTTGGGTATTCTTGGGAACGTCAAGTATCAACATTCACAGATTGAAATAAGGGAAGTTGCTGAAGTTAAACTATCAACGACAAAAACGACTTGTAATCGGACGCCTGGGAAAAAAATAAAAAATCAAAGCTGCACGTCGTAAACTGTTGTAATTCCCAGGAAGGAAGCAAGGAACCCCAAACAGGTGAGTTGATTTCTTAATATTGTTAAGCAAATAGTAATACCTTTCTCAATTTAGCTGTTGCATGATACATGTATGTATGTACATTGTACGTTGTGCAATTGTTCCATGAACACATGGGTATTGGCTATTATGATTGAGACATGTATAAAACCAAACATCAGAATATTTAACATGTAGAAATAAAGGTAAAAGTATACATTGAGTCTGAGTGACTGTTAAAAGATAAAGTTTTCATATTCTTACATTATTTGACATCCTGAATCCAAAAATGATACTTATATGTCTTGGAAATTAAAGAAAAAACATAATCAAACCTGACCTAACCTTACCTATTTACCTGCAACCTACCAACCTACAACCTACAAACCTACAACCTAACCTAACCTAACCTACAAACCTACCAACCTAAAACCTGAAACCTACAAACCTACAACCTAACCTAACCTAAAACCTAAATTTTTTGCTGTTACATATTTGTATCAACAGAGTCACAATTGTCCACTCGGACCTAATATATAGGTACTAATACCGAAATAAAAAAGCATTTAACATATAGATGCATATAGATGAAAACAGAACATTTAACAAGTTATTCAACACATCCACATAATTCAGTCAGACCCACACACTCCAGTTCTGTTCTGGTAGAGGGTATTTGCATTTTGCGGAGCCTCATTTTTAGCTCTCGGCATCCCATAAATTATGCTTTTAAGATGTTTTTTGTCCAGCATGTGTTTGGTTAATCAAAAATAAATGAAAACTATCAACCAATGATTTCTCTCTTAGTAAAATTAGCTTTGTTAATTTTGTCATGCTCTCATGCTTGTTCTCATCGCTAGCTTTTTATTTGTTTCTCTTGGCTCCAATCACAGTGTGTTAATTGAATCAGAATGCATGTCTCCTATCCCCCTGACCTGACAAGTGAATGGAATCTGAAAACAGGGTGCCCGAGCCCGGAGCCCGAGGTCCAGACTGGAAAAAATACACGTTATGCCGAATATGTCCGGCGTAGTGGCGGGATTGCGCCGAAAATTTCAGCGCACGTCTGGCGTAACTTTGCATGCGCTGAATTTAACGCATGGCAGCGGCTGAATTTTTCGGCGCAGGGCGGCCGCATAATTTTTTGGCGAAAGACGATCATCAAATTTAGTTGGCACGCTGGTGAATCTAGCGGCAGATTCGCCCTGTGGGCGGCTCTGGGGAGGTTTCGGGACGAGACGTTCCGCCCCGGTCGTCGCGTGCTCGAACTGGCGAGCCACCCTGAGTTTACACTCAGCGGAGAAGCGGCCGCCCAGGGCGGTGTTTCACGGGACGCTGCTACCACGCTGCTATCAAATTGCGCGAGCTGACGTCACACTTGTGGTAGTGTTGGAGCAATGGGCCTGTTGATGTTTCCATGGAAACCCAATTTGACACGTGTAAAAGCAGCGTGCTACTATCACCGGTGAAACAGGGCCCAGGTGAGGCCTCAACCCTCGGCGTGGAGATATAGGTATGGAAGAGTGAAGACCTTGTTGAACATCGCCGAGCGTCGTCGAGTAATACTGCAGTGGGTTCCCAGTCCCACCCACTGCGGTATCGAGGGTAATGGGAGCCCGGACGACCTGGCGAGACAAGCGGCCGCCCTGCCCTCTAACGGCCGCTCGCTGACCAGGGCGGTTCATTGTGCAGCCCCGCATCAATGGCGCGACAACTGGTCCGAGCCACTATTCAAGCCGCTCCTTGGGAGCACGCCGCCGCTCCCTATCCCTGGAGAGGACCGAGAGGACGCCGTTTCGGTGCACCAGATGAGGTTGGGCCATTGGGGCCGCTCGCTCCAGTATCTGCACCGGATCGGCCGTCTTCACTCGGCGGCGTGCCAGCAGTGCCCAGACAAGGAGTGCCCCGCAGCGTTCTGCGCCGTGTGCCGAGAAGAGGCTGATGTGCCAGAGCACGTGCTGCCCCGCTGCCCGGCTCTCGCTGGCTCCCGCCAGCCTCGAACGCACCGCCGATTTTTGTGGCGCCGGAACTTCCGGCTCCCGCCTTGTTTCGTAGCACGACGCTACAGTGCACTAAGGGTATTGAGGCATTGGGTTTCCGTGGGAAAACGTATTTGACACTAATAGGCACCCAATTTTCGGCGCAAATCATGCAGAAATTTCAGCGCAAATTCGCCTGCGCTGAATTTCGGCGCAAAAGGGTAAAAAAGGAATTGCGTGAAAAGGCATATTGAAGGCCAGAATCTAACTCGTTTTTGTCTCAACCGTGCGAGGACCAGGGAATGATACAGGAAAACTCGAAGGGGATGGTCATGAATTAAATTCGTGGTGCCCCTACCTATACCCAGAATTAAAAACAACGGATTTCGGCCACTTCATTTTGGTGATGCCCTATTTCCATTTTTTGTATTGTTTTATTTATTTTTATTGCCCCGGGGCCCTGGCGGGCCTGTAGTGCCCCTGCTAGGCCGCTGGGGCCCCTGGGCCCTGATAGGACTGTGGTGCCATTGACAAGCCTGAAGTGTCCCCGACAGGCACGTGGTGCCCCTGACCGGCCCAAGGTGCCCCTGCGAGGCCAGTGGTGCCCCTGACAGGCCAGTGGTGCCCCTGACAGGCCTGTGGTGCCCCTGACAGGGCTGTGGTGCCCCTGGCAGGCCTGTGGTGCCTCTGACGGGCCCAAGGTGCCCCTGACAGGCCTGTGGTGCCCCTGCTAGGTCTTTGGTGCCCCTGACAGGCCTGTGGTGCCCCTGGAAGGACTGTGGTGCCTTTGGGCCCTGACAGGACTGTGGTGCCACTGACAAGCCTGAAGTGTCCCCGACAGGCACGTGGTGCCCCTGACGGGCCCAAGGTGCCCCTGCGAGGCCTGTGGTGCCCCTGCGAGGCCTGTGGTGCCCCTGCTAGGTCTTTGGTGCCCCTGGCAGGCCTGTAGTGCTCCTGGAAGGACGGTGGTGCCCCTGGGCCCTGACAAGCCTGATGTGCCCCTGACGGGCCCGTGGTGCCCTTGCTAGGCCTGTGGTGCCCCTGACAGACCTGTGGGGCCCCTGGTGTGCCTTTGGGACCCCTGCCGTGATGGTGCCCCACGGGAGGCCCGGGGGGGGGGCATGGCCCCCATGACCCCCCTGGATCCGCCACTGAGGAGCGAAACTCCCTTCGTCCCCCTCCCCGTGATGCCAACTTGCTTACCGGTCTCGGACGGTTCCAAATTTTACAGGCTGCTTAAGTACATTTAAAATTCACCTGAACTGAAGGCTTATTTGTGTACGATAGAACTGACCAGCTCATTAACATTCTTTTGTAGGTTTGTTTCTGTTTACATGGCTGTTTACAATTGCGAATGACTGCCGCAAATAGTGATTTTTAAAAGCATCCTTGGGTGTTGATTTGGGGGGACTTCCTCCTCAGATTCCTCGACTGGGGGGGGGGGACCCCGCTTTCGACGCCCATGCTCACAGGCTCTGACATAGGTACTATTGGGCGCAGAATCCGCGCTCATACCGGGACCCAGACGGGGCAGGCCTGGTGTGTCAGAGAGTGTACCGATTAGTGTGTTGCGGAACAGTATCCTTTGAGGGTCACGCGATGACATGGCCCGGGCTGTTTCTGTTCCGAGTGGGGAGAAAAGCCGGGGAAGGGGAGCCGTTTAGTATGCAGCCGCAGCCCGCGTGGAGTGTGTGCGGATAGACGTGAGCGCGATGGCACACCTCAGTGATTTTGACAAGGGAATGCTCGTCCTGCTTTTTGATGGAGGTCACTCTGTCGAGCAGGCGGCAGAGATTCTCGGTGTTGCTCTGACAACTGCCAGACGGTGGATACAATCATACACCGTTATGAGCAGGAAGGGGAAAGTGGTTTGGAAGCGCGTTATGACAAGTATGGAAGAAAACGAGAGACGACGGAAGCGGAAGACTGTCGTATGGTGGAGGTTCCTATTCTTATTTTATTATTTGTTGCTGTTGTCTCTGTATTTCTATATCAAGACGAGCGTGTAGCAGTAGATGATTAATCGGGCCAGCATGAAATAATCATATGTCGATTAAAACAGCATTGTTGGCCCGAGTTCACCAGACAGCAGCCGACTATATGGGATACTGTTCCGCATCACACTAATCGGTACACTTTCTGATACACCAGGCCTGCCCTGCTTCGGTCCCGGTAGGGTGAGACTAAATGCTTACTTCGAAATCTAAGCTGCGTTGCGGCATTGGCGGTTATGTGCGGCGTGTATGCCGCATGATTAGTAAGCGGCGACCACTAAATTAAAAACTCAATAGCTTTGACCTGTTTTCAATGGATAACACTGCATACCAAAAATGTCCATCGCTCTCGTCATAGGATATTTAGATTTGAATAAATAACTTATCTACGTCTACAATTGTTTTGAACCAAATTAATACTTTCAACTTGACCCTCGCCCGTATTGGTGTTTTTCCAGCCGCGAACGTATAAGGTATAACCCCTTGCCGTTTCGCTCCTGATCAAGCTAGAGCTTCCCGGAAAAAAAAAACGAGCGTGTTGCCCGTGACGAGAGGAAGCCGATGATACCCAATCTTAAGGTCCTAGGTCCAGGTCAGGTCAATGACCCAAAAGGCGGGAAAATTGGGACCTGTGAGAACGTCGTAGTGTGGCTGCTATGGGGTTTTTCGGGGTGTTGATCACGAATATCATGCTAGTTTTGATCACAGATGATGTCTTCATTCATTTAGGCCAGGTCGGGTTAGGTCAGGTCAGGTCAACCAGTAGAGGTCCTGCCGGGTATTTGTAGTAGGTGTCAACCGCCTCTGACAGCCTCGTAACATGTTACGAAGGCACCAAAACTACTTTGTAAACGTTCATGTGGTTGCTTAATTCGAATTCAGCTCGAAAAAACTGGCCTAGAAACATGTCAAACTCGAAAAAGTGAACCGAGGTTACCAAAGGTCAGTAACCTGACCTGACCTTCAGGTGACCTTGACACCCACCCTAATGCATGGGGGCAACATCATATCACATGTTTGAACGCTTGAAACCACGAAAAGACTGCAA